ATGATGGTGTTAGTGATGATGATGCTGATGATGATGATGATGATGATGATGATGATGATGATGATGATGATGCCGAAGAAGAAGGTGATGCTGATGATGATACGAATGATATGATTATGAGGAGGAGGAGGAGGAGAAGGAGAATATGAGGGGGAGTTCGAGGGGGGATCGATGGCGAGGAGTAGGAGGAGCAGGGGAATTGTCTATACATCTGCTGACGTGTAATTTACTTGCTGATGCACACGGCGCTCATTGCGAAGGCCTTACGGCCGGCGCCGCTGGCCCTCAAGGCGGGACCTCCCTTGGGACCGCCGCTGGCGACCCCCCCCCCCCCCCCCAAACACGCTGGGAGCCCGGGGGGGTTGGTGTTCTGACCCCGGGACCCCCCCACTACCCCCACACTTCCCCCCCCGCCCCCCCCCCCCGGCAGGGAGGGGATAAAGGGAAGGGGATCGACTTAACTTACGACGTTCCTTTTCCTTGTTCTTGATTCTCCTTGAGACTGACGACGGCGACGACTACGACGACGACGACGACGACGACACCGTCTCTAACTCGCTGAAGGGTCTGCGGATTTTGGCTTATGTCAGACACGAAGCCTCCGTGCGTCTTTACAGCAGGCGAGCTTTGGCACAACTCACAACTGTGCAACGCCTGTGCTGTGACGTGGCCCTGGCATTCGAGAGGCGCCTGTCGAGTCCTGCCAGATGCACTCCGCCGCCTCCTCCCCCCTCCATCCCAGACCCCCGACGTCGTGATTTTTTCACGACGTCGCCCCCCAGAGGTCTGGATCCTTTCCCGTGGACCGGTTTTCCATCCTGAGTCGATTTTTGACGGTCCCGAGGCCGGGCAAGGGGCCCTGGAGGCCGAAAATCGCGAAAAACTTCCCGTCGTGACTTTTTCATAGCGCGAGGAGGTCTGGGATCGGAGGCTGGGGCTTATAGATGTATCCACAGCCCCGGAAATCCAGCAGTCGGGGCCTCGGCAGGCGGTGGATGTGGACGTGCTCGGGCCCGGGCATCCTCGGCCGCCCCCTTGGGGCCGAGCTATATCCGCATCCGCCGCCACCCCCTTGGGGTCCTGGGGCATTTAGCCCCCAGACCCATCCTCCCCCTCAGCGATGGGTGATGAGGGAGGAGGCAGGGCTCATTTCGATTCCTCCGATTCGATTCGGTTCGATTTTGACGGGTTCCGATTCCGATTCGATTCGACTTGGGATTCCGATTCGGGATCCGATTTCGCAACAGAGGCTTACTAGCCTGCGGATGTCTGCCGATTCGACTTTCCCGACTCGGCTGCCGATTTCCGTCGATCCGACTCATGTCGACTTCCGATCCGACTTGTCGATTCGATCTTGGGCCCTCCTTAGAGGAGGAGGAGGAGGAGGAGGAGGAGGAGGAGGAGAATAATCATAACAATAAACAAACACTAAGTATAATACTAATAATAATAATACCAATAATAATAATAAACACAATAATAATAAGAACAATCAGATGACTAATATTACTGATACGATTATTGTTTCAAAAGGAATAGTAACAGGAAGAGGAACATCATAATAATAATACGAAGAAGAACAGGAGGAGGAGGAGGAGGAGGAGGAGGAGGAGGAGGAGGAGTCCCTGAGGCTGCGCTCCGTCGCGATGAATGAAGGGCTCCTGAGGGACACGGGCCCTAGACTCCGGGAGCTTCCGCGGGTGGCCAGCTGTCCATCCCGAGTCGTTAGCTCTGACGGCCCGGGAGCCCGTGGGGGGCCTCTCTCGGGGGCCTGGCGAAGATAGCCACGACCCCTCTCCTCCATATCGTCAAAAACCTTAAGAAGGACGCTCGACTTTGCTCAGGGTGCCCTTGCGTCCTTGCTCTTCCTTGCGCTTGCGTCCTTGAGGTCTTCGTCGGCCGCCGCCCCAAACATCCCAACCTCGGCTTCCAAGGGTCTTGCGTCCTTGCCGCGCGTCCTTATCAGGGCTCTCGACTGCAACCCGCTTCCTTCACGCCTTATCAGGGCTTCCTTCGGCGGGAGGAGGAGGAGGAGGAGGAGGAGGAGGAAGAGGAAATTCGAGGAGGAGGAGGAGGAGGAGGAGGAGGAGCGCTGTCGCAGACGCCGCTGCTCCCCCCGCGAGGGGCGTGCGGCCGGGACCGTTTGCTTCCGCGTGTCGCGCCGCTGGTTCCGGCCCGCCACGCTTCGCCACGCCACGCCGAGCACGCCCCAGCGAAGCGAAGCGAAGCGCCATGAGCCTGCAGGCGCCAGGAGGAGGAGGAGGAGGAGGAGGAGGAGGAGGAGGAGGAGGAGGAGGAGCACGCCCCGGCCTTCCCCGAGCCTCCCGTCCCGCGAAGCAGAGCGAGGCGCCAGGAGCCTGCAGGGCACCATGTGGGTCGCAGGGGCCGCCGCCGTGGCATCCCGCCGTAGACTTCGGTCGGGCCTGTCCCCTGTAGGGGGACCCCCTACAGGGGGAGCTTCGGCGAAAAATTCAGAATACCCCACAACTAGTCCCAAATAGCCCCAACATAGTCCAAACATAGTCTGGGGGCTATCTTTTGGATATTTTTTTGCCCTGTTTGGAGGCGTTCCTGGGGTATGTTTTTATTTTTCGTCGAGAATCCCCCTGTATGGGGGAAACGCCCGACTTAAACCGTAGACCGCATGTCGAAGTCGTCGCCGCGGGAGCCAGCCGTCGGACAACGATTCGGGATGAAGCGCTCGCTCTGCTGGAAGCCCCTGGGGCTCTGTGGGCCCGGAAACGGCAGAGCCGTTTTTTCACCGTTTCCGAAGAATGTCCCTTGAAGATGGAAACGGCAAAAAAAAACGGCGACCGGACACGGCAAGAAACGGCTCCAGGATGGGACCTGGAGCCGGAGCCGGTCAAAAAACGGCGACGGAACCGGTGAAAGAACGGCGTCGGAACCAGCCAAAAAACGGCAAAACGGAACCGGTAAAAAAACGGCCCTGTCGTTTCCAGGGCCCGCTAAGCCCTGGGGGTGCAGGACACGCTTCCCTCAGGGCACCTAGTCTGGCGACGCGGTGCGGCTCGCCGCGCTGCGGTCCGCACCCGCCTCCCTGCGCGGGGGCCTGCACAGAACGGCACCCGTGCGGTATCCTGCGGCGTGCGCGCGGTGCTCCCGAAGGGGGGAGGGGGAGAAGGAGGGGGGGAGCTTGACTGGAGGGAGGGAAGGAGGGGGAGAAGGAGGGGGGGGGGGAGAAGGAGGGGGGAAGGAGGGGGAGGGGGGCGGGAAGGGGGGGAAGAAGAGAAGGAGGGGAGAAGGAGGGGGGGAGAAGGAGGGGGGGAGAAGGAGGGGGGGGAGAAGGAGGGAGGAAGAAGGGGGAGGGAGGGGAGGGGACCAGCGCGTCTGAGTGAATAATGTTTGTGTCTGCGTGCCTTGAGCTGGGGAGCTCTCGGCCCCCTGCGCAGCGTGCGCCTCCGGATGAGCATATCGAGAGGGATGGAGGTGGCAAAACAGGACTTGCTGCGCACTCCTGCTTGGGGAGGGGAAGATGGAAGAGGGGAGGGGAAGGAGTGGGGAGGCTAGATTGAGGACGAGGAGGATGATGAGGAGGAGGAGGAGGAGGTGAGCTGGCCTCGCATGCTGACATGCGATGCTGGTGCCCACGTGAACACAAAGCGCTCGTTTCAGGCCACTGCTAGGCACCAGCGCCTGCGAGCATCCCTTATACCGAGCGAGACCAGCAGTCATGCCACGCCTGTGCCAGAACATGGCCCTGGCATCCAGGAGACGTTTTTCAAGCTCTGCCAGGATATACCCAGCCTCCTCCCTCTCCTCCTCCTCCTCCTCCTCCTCCTCCTCCTCCTCCTCCTCCTCCTCCTCCTCCTTGGAGATAACTTCTCCCTGCCGCACCCCGAGGCCAATGTTTGGGGCGGGCCGGACGTTTCGCTTGAGACTTCTTCACCACTTATGATTGTGAAGCTTAAAAAGTGGCAACAGTTTCACACATGGAGGGCGGGTGGTTTTCAACATGTAGCTCTCGCCTTAGCGCCGCGCACATTCTCTGTAAACATTTGCTAGAGCTTTGCGGATTGAGGGCGGGCCTTTTTCAAAATTTGTCTCTCGCCTCAGCGCCGCGCACATTCGTTTCGACAATCTGCAAGAGTTGCACGGATTCAGTGCGGTTCGTTTTCAAAATGTGGTTCTCGCCTCAGCGCCGCGCACATTCGTTTCGACAGTCTGTAAGAGTTGCACGGATTCAGTGCGGCTCGTTTTCAAAATGTGGCTCTCGCCTGAGCGCCGCGCACATTCGTTTAAACATGTGAAAGAGCTTCACACATCGAGGGCGGGTGGTCTTCCACATGTTGCTCTCGCTTCAGCGCCGCGCACGTTCGTTTTAAATATTTGCAAGAGCTTCACGGATTGAGGGCGGGTCGTTTTCAAAATATGGCTCTCGCCTTAGCGCCGCGTATATTCATTTTAACAAATTGCAAGAGCTTCACGGGTTGAGGGTGGGTCGTTTTCAAAACGTGGCTCTCGCCTTAGCGCCGCGCACATTCCTTTCAAACAGTTGCAAGAGCTTCACGGATTGAGGGCGGGTGGTCTTCCACATGTGACTCTCGCTTCAGCGCCGCGCACGTTCGTTTTAAATATTTGCAAGGGCTTCACGGAATCTCATGCTCAGCGTACCAGAAATCGTGTTGGACGGGTTCAGGATTATGCGGGTGCAACAGTTATGTTGGTTCGCGGCGTTGAAGTCCCAAAAATGGCGCTCTGGCACGATTCCGGATCGTCGAGACGTGCCAGTCAGGTTGGCACGTGGAATTAAAATTCCGAGAACAATGTTTTGGCATGCTGATCTTCAAACGGTTGTCTTCCAACGAGGCAGTTCCCTCAATGAGCATGAACCGTTGTGGGGGCCTATGGAGAGGGAGCTTGGAGGGAGGCTGAATTTCACCATCGTTGATGACACTTGGGTTTACACTAGTCCTCCTCCTCCTCTTCCCTCCTTCTCCTCCTCCTCTTCCTCATCCTCCTCCTCCTCCTCATCCTCATCCTCCTCCTCCTCCTCCTCTCTCTCTTCCTCCCTTCCCCCGCCCCCTGTCAGGCTGCACTCTTGGGAAGTGGTCTCGCTGAGGCCGGCACTGCCTGCGAACGCGCTGGCAGGTCGGCGCGGGCTCGCGCGCGTGTGCCGCACGGTGCATGAGTCGCCTGTGGCTCTCTCCGCGCGCGCGCGGGCCGTGTATCGCGCGGCTAAGTCCGCGCGGGCTCTTCGTGACGAGAGAGCGCACGCTGCGCGCCACAACGCGTCTCGCCTTGCTCGAGCGCATCTGCAGCCCGGTCTCCGTCGTGAGCTGGGCTGCATGTCGACTGCCTTCAAGCTTGGTAGTCTGGATGGTGAAGGTAAGCGGACATGAATAGAGAGGATGCTAGGCCAGTGCAAACCGACACAGAGCGTGCCGCTGTGTGCCCATCCCATGAGCGGCACAACACCCAGGTGATTCTTTCGCAATTGTCCGTTCCACTCCCCTGAGGACAGGGAAAGTATCTTGGTGCGAAGAAGACGGAAGAGGCAGGGTGGGAAGAGACGGGGAAAGCAATCAGGCAGGACTAATGCAGGGGAAATGCGGACGGATCAGAACGGATAAGCCAAGCGAGCAGGAATAGAACAAAGGATGTTGCCATTCAACGACAAGAAGGAGACATCTGATACCGCACACGCTGTGGCAGAGATGTGTGATCAGGTCGTGCGGTCGGCAGCACTTGCTCAGCGTGTCGCGCCGCCAGTTTTGGCCCAACACTCTTGGGCGCGACACGCGAACCACTTCTCAGCCCCCCAGCGTCAGCGGCCAAAGCTTTTTCCAGCCTCCCCCCCTGCGGAACAGAGCGGCACGCCACCTGCGTGCAAGGCCTATCGCGTTGCTGGGGCCGCCGCCGCGACACGCTGAGCAAACGCTCCCGAACGTAGAGTACGCAGAAGAGGAGAGGGAGGAGGCACATGGGGGAGTGAGAGGAAGAGGACTGCAAGGAGGAGGAGGAGGAGGAGGAGGAGGAGGAGGGATGATGATGATGAGGAGAGGAGGAGGAGGAGGAGGAGGGGGGACGTACACGCATGAGGAGGGGGACGAGGAGGAGGATGAGGAGGAGGAAGAGGAGGAGGAGGAGGAGGAGGAGGAGGAGGAGGAGGACGAGGAGGGGGAGAGGAGGAGAGGAGGAGGAGGAGGAGGAGGAGGAGAGGAGGTCGGAGGAGGAGGAGGAGAGGGGAGGGAGGCGGCGGAGGAGGAGGAGGAAGGAGGAGGAGAGGAGCAGGAGGAGGAGGAGGTAGGATGATGATGATGATGCTGATGAGGAGAGGAGGAGGAGGAGGAGGAGGAGGAGGAGGAGAGGAGGAGGAGGAGGAGGAGGAGGAGGAATGTGAGGCAGAAGGAGGAGGAGGAGGAGGAGGAGGTAGAGAAGGGCGGGAGGGAGGGAGGATGGGAGGGAGGGAGGGAGGGAGGGGGGAGGGGAGGAGGGGAGGAGGAGGAGGGGAGGAGGAGGAGGAGGAGGAGGGTAGATGTGGAGGGGGAAGAGGAGGAGGAGCAGGAGGAGGAGGAGGAGGAATAGAGGACAACGAGGAGGAGGAGGACGGCAGGAGGAGTAGGAGGAGGACCAGGAGGAGACGAAAAACCACGACGGCGGATCGTTCCCCTCGGGGGGAGGGGAATGAGGAGGAGAGGAGGAGGAGGAGGAGGAGGAGGAGAAGGAGGAGGGGGAGGAGGAGGAGGAGGAGGAGGAGGAGGAGGAGGAGGCGGAGGAGGAGGAGGAGGAGCAGGAGGAGGAGGAGGAGGAGGAGGAGGAGGCGGATGAGGAGGAGGAGGAGCGCGAGCAGCCAGCAGGAGTTCTCCGAGAAACCGAAAAACTCTGGAAACATGGAACCCCTAGCCACTTAAGGCGGGAGGGGGAGGCGATGCCTCAAGATGAACGAGTTCAGGCCAGTGGGGGCAACGGGTGTGAAGAGTGCAGCCCCTCTGCCCCTCAGCCGCCCTGTAGCGTCGTTACAGCCAGAATGCACGGATGGACCGGTACACCGAAATCTGCACGGATGGACCGGTACACCGAAATCTTAAAGATTTGCATTCACAACGGGGCCCCAGTCTTGGGGTGGCGGCCACGCTGCACCATGTCGGCCTTCCGCTTTTGGTTGGCCCTGGTGGCAGGATTGGAAGACGGCCCCGCACACTTCGAATTCAGATTCGAACGACCGCTCCACCCCTCCTCCCCCGACGCCGAGGCCCCACACTGGGTGCAGCAGACCATGGCACCGTGGGTGACTAAAATGTGATTTAGCTCCCTGAAGGCCTCGAGCCCATCTGGTGGCTCCCCTGGCGGCGCAGGCACGGGCCCCAGGACCTCCTCAGCTGCCGCCAGGGCCTCGGACACGCACGGACCCGTAACAGGACCCCTGAAATCGCGAACCACCAGACCTGGCTTCGAGAAAAAGCACCTCGCGGCCCACGCTTGGGTGGGCAGAGGCTTACATTCATCATTCACAAGGTGGGCAAGGTGCCCGCTTGTGCGGGCAACGCACATACACTTGCGGCACCGGACCTCCATTGAGGGCTCGACACGAACGAGGGAGTGCGACATTAGCCTGAGAACTGGCGGCCCACCTGCACAAGGACGCCAGGGGACGGCCTCGGGCGGGTCGTGCCAAAGGTCGAGCTCGACCGCTCGGCTGGCCGCCCAAGAGACATACTTCAGGATCGCCTTGGCACGCTGGAGCTCCGACGAGAGGTACTCAGCGTGCACCGACGACACAGCATGCGCTGACGCCCCGAGCTTGGCAAACCAGTCGGCCCACAGATTCCCCACCCACCACCTGAGAGGGATCTCAAGAGAGAGGGCCTCCTCGGGGCTCTTGTGGGCTGGGGTCCAGCTAAACCTAGGGGGCGCTCTGGAACCAACCGCCCCGAAAATGAGCCTCCAAATCCGAGCATGCTTGCCTCTGGAGCTCTCAAGGGCGGGGTCCCAAGACTCGCCCTCAGACACCCTCGCCAGAGGAGGAGGAGGAGGAGCAGGAGGAGGAGGAGGAGGAGGAAGATGGGGGAGGGAAAGGATGAGGAGGAGGAGGAGGATGATGAGGAGGAGGAGGAGGAAGAGGAGTGAGGAGGAGGAGGAGGGGAAGAGGAGGAGGAGGCGGAGGAGGAGG